ATTAATGACTAAGGTTTCTTAAATAATAATCCCAGCTCACTTGAACTATTTAACTCTTTTCACTTTTCGTAATTCTAACGCGACAGCCGACTTTCTCTCTTTTTAACTCGCTGTGCTGTATATCGCCGCGTCCGCGACCTGCATTGCTTATATCAGTCGCATCCATACATACGCTCTCGTAAATATAAACACACGCACGCGGTTATTTTATTTGACGCTGTTTCTTTCCCGCACTCTCGCTCTCACTCATTCCTAGGGTCATTTACCCGTTTATGTTTATCTATTGGACCGATGACCCGTTTCAAAAATCTGTCGGTGGCTCTACTGTTTCTTTTACGTTAAAGGGCTACGGCAGCCTTCGTGCAGTTTGTCGCACTCACACAAATAAACAAAAAACAAACATGAGTCCTACATTATTTCTGTTACTAAAATTATTTTTTGCGTGATTTTCTTTGTAATAAATAAAGTAGCAACGTCATTTTAAAATGCATTTTAGTATCAAGTAACTACAATCGAAATTGATAACTTTGCAATAATTAGTCACGATCAGTTATCTATATACTCCCATTCGTCTCGTAAAATATGTTTTACGAGTATTACAGTTCACTGCTTGCATGAATATACTATAAACTAGATTAGAAGAAATATTTAAAAAGCGATGGCATAAGTATTTGTGAAGTAATTGCGAATATCGAACATTAGCTAGAACCCCAGGACGAGAAACATGTTAAACAGTGTCCGTTATTCTCTCCTGTTCATTTCTTTTGTCCTGGCATCGGCACTCTTTCTAACAGCAGATGCAGTAAGTACAATATAATTCACTATATTATAGTATACAACGAATGTCACTGAAATGAAACTATCTGTATTGTCAGGTCCCTGGGTGCAATTGCAGAGTTCCAAAGGGACCGATATGCCAGGTAAAGTAATTTCTAATTAATTGAAATTACCATATATTACTATGTTAACACTTCTGAAGTATGTGATTTTATTTATTCTCTAGCGCCGCTGTAGACCTAGAAGACCTGGATAAGGAGTTCGTACGACTCAAAATGCTCTGGAGCGTACACATTATGGTTTATACTAAATGTTATTTTGACGTAACTGAGATATAAATATATGAGTCATACAACTATATGTGATTGCAACTTATTATATCAATAATAAAGGTACACGAGATACCTCGTACATAGCACTGTACGACGAAATCATAATGACGAGGTATCCCGTCAATATCATCGTTCCTTTGACACCGTGAAACCGAGATATTTCGCCCATTGTAGCGAAAGTCTATCGTAGCCTTGGACCTGTTTGTCAGTCAAAATCCTCTGACCTTTTTCCGCCGCGTGCTGTCTCTTAACCCTTTCAATACGAACATTCTGTCCGCCGCGACACTCCCGCTGTACGAGGTGCCACGCCGAAAATGCGCACATAGCACATAGTCAGTCCTCCTTTGTATGAAGATTTTCCTAAGCTTTAAATAAGAACTGTGCTTAATAAAACAATGTTTCTTCTAACAAGTGTTGTTTGTAGCTTTAATATAAAAAGATACTTATATAAAATTCTATTAATTATATAAATAAAATTTATACAAAATTATATACAGATCATATGATTATATACAAGATTATACACAAAATTATATACACAACAAAAATTACTGTTTATATATTTTTAGCTAATATATGATTATAGGTATGACGGCTAATAATATAATTGGGTGTGATATATCTTAAAACAGGGATCTACACATAAACCAACACTGCAATCTTTGCATTCACATCGTGATTCCGATCTTTTGTCATTTTTAATGCAAACTACGCACCGTCGGCTCCGGTTCTTTCCTTTTGATATATACAATGATGGAAAGTGTCTCTCGGTTAGTCTCATCGGATAATCAGTTTTTCTTCTTTGATGATTGATGTAATCGTTATGATATTTATCAATTATTTGTTTCATCAAGCGCAATTGAAACTTCGCCATGGATATGATTTCATTCCTTTTATACTTATAAAGGCAGTACGCGTTCCATACACAAATATCAATTAGATGAAAAAAAAATGTCCGGTACCATTTTAACGTTTTTCGAGTTGAATTTACACTACTTATTACCATATCTCCTTTATCAACTATACCCACTGTATTATTATAATCCACAACACAAACAGGATTTTGTACACTCTGTTTCCCTTCATGTTCGGATACTGTCATGAAATCTGCAGTATGCATACTCGAGATCATGTATACTTCTTTCTTATCAATCCATTTTAATACTAATAAACTTTTCGAGGTACAAAAAGACGCCTCCCCTTTCTTCAATTTATCATCGATCTTGGGCATTCCTTGCCGTCTTTTTGTTACTGTCCTGCATGCATTTGTGCAATTGTCGTATAATAGGTTACATAACACGAGATTTGAGTAAAAGTTATCCACATAAAGGGTATGGCCCTTTCCTAAATATGGCTTCAAAAGTTCTAAGACGATTGCTCCAGATTTCCCAATACCCTTGATAGGACTAGCCGGAACTGTAGATGCTCCGGTATGAACTATTATATCCTGCACGAATCCGGTTTAGCAATCGCACAGAATAAACGACTTTATTTAAAAGATAGGCAGTCTTTGTATAAAAGTAAACATTCATCTATATAAAGTTCTTGGTATGGCTGAAACGCCGCAGTGACCGATTTTCGCAGCATATCGACTATTTTTTCCATTTTTATTAGGCGGTCGCCAATGCATCCAGGTTCGTGAAAGAAATGTAGCATTCCGAGTAGCAGGAAGTACTTGTCTCTGGTCATTATTCTCCCAAAAATATCGCTGCGTAGATAATCGTCTGTGCTCCTGTACTCCTTGAGTGATAGCTTTTTATTGCGCGTCATCAGTAACGACATGGCTAAAAAACAATACAACTCGTTTCGCGTCGTTGTTTCCAGATTATTCGCATTGTTATTGCTCTGTTGGGCCCAATAATAGTTGGACTCGTCTACAAGTATGTCTTCCAACTCTTCAGATATAAATCATTCAAAATAATCAATGATTTGGGATGACCTGCGTATTTCTTTGGTGATTCCCGAATGTTTTGAATCAAATCGATGAATTTTTGGTACAAAATGATTTTTTGTCCATGTTATCCAACAGTTCGTGTCATAAGAGTGTTGGATCAATTCTCTTTCCGACTCAGAACTACTATATATCACATTTATTCTTTGCCTTCTACGCCGATTGAAATTATTTTCATTTTCACAATTCTCGTCATTTTCCGAGTTAGTTAATCCATTTCTGAATCTTTTGTTTGCTATAAACATTCTATAAAGGACCTAAAATGTTTTAAAATCTACGAACAAGTTTCGGACAAACGCTTAACCTAAAGTTTTTTAGAACAAATGAAATCAAACGACGATTATACCTGTAGCTGTTTTTTCGGAATTTTTGTGAGAAAAGACTTTTTATTAGAATTATTTCTATTATGACAGAAATATCAATCAATCAAAGCAGATGAGAACGCAGAAAACGATTGTTCAAAAATCGAAGAGTCCAAGGTTTTTTATGCATGTGTGCAAAATATACTTTCAATATGATCCTCATCTAATATGTCGGTAAAATAGAATGTAATTTTACCAACTGTAGATGTCGTTTGTACACTCAGATTGTCGCATGGATGCCAGATATATCCGGCACTCATCCATTAGCGGTCATCAAATGGATGCCGGACTATCCGGCGCTCGTCCACATTGGTCATCAGATGGACGCCGGATATATCCAGCGCTCGTACCGGAAGGGTTAACCCTCGCAGCACCATGTTAGAGTCCGTTCGGACTGATGCAATTATTAATATTTCGACTATAATCATCACACGGTTCAATCTTTCAGTTAACATAGAATTACAGAGCAAAAAGAAAATAATGAGAAAATGACAAAGTTCAAATTCAAAATATTCCTAGAAACAAGGTCTCCTTACGTGTCCACATGACTCGGGGCAAAGTGGTTTGTAAGTTCGATTGCCAGAACCGTCGATACAGCGAGGGTTAAAGCTGTGTTGAAAAGTATGCTGAATGGAAGCTACGTCTATAGGATACTAAGATATCACAGCCACGAAAAAATAGTAATGATAAGGAGTTCGTATTTGAACTAGATACATTAAGAATAAAAATAATCGTTATGAACAGATTAAAGAAATTTAAGCGTAGCGACATTTATAAAATGAAAGTCGCCCTCCTCGTTTTGTCGATGATGCTCCTGTCAGCGTTCTTCATTGTGTCCGCCAAGACAGTAAGGAATATAAGTGATACTATTTTTTTATAAAAAGTTCACGATAATCATCTATTACGCTTTTGCTCTGTGATCTAGGTATCATTCTACAAAATCATCAAACTTAATTTAAGAATAGTTTCATATAACTATGATATTGCATATTGTAATTACAATTTCGTCATTGAAAATATATTAATCACTTATTGTTTAATTGTTTTCTAGCATTGTATGGTTTGACTATCAATATTACTAAAATTATGTTTTCCGTGACTTCCTTTATAATAAATAGATTGGAAACGTCGTTTGAAGGTGCATTTTAGGATTATATGTGTATAAAAATTGTTTCGATATTGAAATTGATAACTTTGCCACTTGTTAGTCACGATGAATTATCTTCACAGTCACACTCTTCTCGTAAAATATAAATTACGTGTATTAGGGTTTACAGGTTTGCATGAATATGCTATAAACTAGATTAGAAGATATATATAGACAGCGATGGCACCAGTATTTGTGAAGTATTTGGAAATATCGAACATTAGCTAGAACCTCAGGACGAGAAACATGTTGAACAGCGTCTGTTATTCTCTCTTGTTCATTTCTTTTGTCCTAGCATCGACACTCTTTCTAACAGCAGATGCAGTAAGTATAATTCACAGTCAAATATTGTAGTACGTGACGAATGTCACCGTAATGAAATTATGTGTAATCTCAGGTTGTTAACTGCAATTGTAATGCTCCAATAGGATGGAGATGTCGGGTAAAATCATTTCTAATTAATTGACATTACAGTACATTTTATATAATAAGAATACTTACGTACGTGATTTTATTTCTTCTTATTTAGAGACAGTGCGGTCGACGTTAATAAGGAATTTGTATGACTTAATGACGAAGTGGGTATAGGTTACTATTTACATACAATGTAATTCGGATGTCATTTCAAGAAATAAACACTTTAAGAAAATATGAAACATATAATTTAATCGATTTGCAATCCAAACTACTTCCTAACTAACGTGTTTAGCATGATTACGCTAGCGTAACCCATCAATGAGTCACAAGAGTCACAAGAGTCACAAGAATCGCGCAATAAAGAACGGAATGCGATGAAGTGAGGTGTACGAACATTGGTGCTGCATTTCTTTTTGCGCGCTGCACAGTGTGTGCAATTAAGCCATTTTAGCTGACCAAAGTTAAAAGTATGTATATATTGAATTTTAGCGAGATGGAGGATGAGGTGCGTATTCGAAATTATTATCACAAGTTTAAGTGAAGGAATCTTTATTCATCCAGAGACCGCGAGCACTTCGTGTCAACTCTTGGTTATTAACAGATGATTCTGACTGTGACTATTCTTATCTATGACTAACTATGTCTAACTATGACTCACTATGACTGCCTTTTTATCTCTGCTTCACAGGGAGCAAAAATGGTGAAGTTTCCCTAATTGGTTAAACAGCGCAGTGGCGTTAACCAATCAGGTACTTCCGATGATTTTTGTGGCGGCCGAAAAGCTGCCTTACGCCACTGGATTTCCTCTCTTTTCTTTTACTTGTCTGTTCACCATCATCCTTCTTCTTCTTCTCTGTCTTTTGGATCGTTTCTCTCTTCCTCGTTTTTCTCCTACTTTCCTATCTTTCTGTCCTTCTTCAGAGGAATATATATTTTCCGGGGAGAGTTTAGGAGCTCTCATTTTGTCTTCACCCGCGACGACGTCATCACGAACCTCCGCGACACCGACCTTTGGAAAACTGTGTTGAGGACCGTACTTCACCAATCGTTTTCGGTTTAACTTCACCGAACCCTCCACATTTTCAATCACCGCCTATTCCTTGCGCCCTTAGAGCGTTCTTTGTGGAAAGACAGTGCGCTTTGGAGGGGAAGTATTCCTTAGTGGAAGTTCGACAACGCAGCCGAATTTCCTCCGAGCTCAAGCCTCCTGGCGTCACTTGCAGACGGTCGCTTGACCATGCATTGCATTCTTTCGGAAATTTATGGTTTATAACATCTGCAATTTGTTACTGAGGCCGTCTGCACATATTGTCGAAGGAAAAACAAACTTGGCGATAATTCTCAAAAAACGGCTTTCTCAAAAGTAGACTCGTTGACCTGCTTGTCATAAACCATACTAGCTGTTTGCACGCCAAATGTTTCTTTATGTCATGCTTGCTAGCGGCTAGAGAATTTTTTCGACAAAATATGGTTATATACGAGGTGAGTGAGAGTAACGTTAATAATTATACTCCTATTTACCACACTCAATTCTATGTTATAACGGAGTGCTACAGCGAACTAATATATATATAAAGAATAAAAATAATGGTTATGAACAGATTAAAAAATGTAAGCGTAGCGACATTTTGTAGCATAAAATGAAAGTCGCTCTTCTCGTTTTGTCGATGATGCTCCTATCAGCGTTCTTCATTGTGTCCGCCAAGGCGGTAAGGGATACAAATGATACTACTTTTTTTATTCAAAGTTCACAATAATCATCTTCAAGGGTTTTATACTGTCACCTAGGTATTTTTATATAAAATCGTCAAACTGAATTTAAAAAGTAGTTTCGTATGGTTATGATATTGCATATTGTAATTACAATTTCATCCGTGAAAATATATTCATTATTTATTGTTTAATTATTCTCTAAGGTCCTGATGCTGAAAATATAGGATTTGTGGGAACCAGAGTTACAGACGTTACTGTAGTAATGCACATGTTGTCCAAAGGAGATGGCGTGAAGAGTTGTCCACACCTATAAACGCGCCGTCGGGGCTCTACTGCCGCACCTGGATAGGTGGCAGAAGAGAAGCTACGGCAGGCTCACCTACCGCATGACACAGGTACTCACCGAAGCAACCGTGGCCGGTGAGTACCTGTGTTGAATAGGCAGAGAAGCGACGACGGTGTGCCATCAATGCGTCGAGAAGAAGGACTCGGCGCAGCACACGCTGGAGGTTTGCCTAACTTTTTCAGCGCTGCACCGAGTCCTTATGGACGTCATCGGGGAGGACCTCTCGTTGCCGGCAGTAGTGGAGGCTATGCTGGCAAGTGAGAGGACCTGGGACGCCGTGGCTTTCTTCTGTAAGGAGGTGATTTCGCAGAAGGAGGCTGACAAGCGGGATCGAGAGAGGAATGATTCCGCTCGGGCTTCCCGGGGGCGCCGGTAGTCGCGTCGCCGAGTAAGAACGCTCCGGGCCCCTCCCCCTGATGTAGGCGGGC